TTGACTCAGGGAGGCTGTGAACGACGGGAATGAATTTTACTTACAGCTGGCCCAGTAAAAGGAGCGTGATCACAGTTCTCCTGCCAGGACTGGTTGAGGCTCTGGACAAACTCTTGGAAGAAAGCGTGAGACTGGTTGAAAATGGAAAATCCCAAGATGTTGACTCGGTCGTCTAGCAAGCTGTCCAGGCGCTGGAGGGAAAACTCCTAAAGCAGCCCAAAACAGAAAACATGATTAGGGAAGAAAACAGGCACCAAACTCTTGTGACAGGAGGTTCCCTGTAACGCAGAGGTTACAGCAGAGGCAGGGAGGTCGATGGTGTTTTTCAGATGGAGCCAGTAACCTGCTAGAACTGGCCGGAGAAGGTCAGCTCTGTCGTGGGAGGCCTGCAGCACAGAGCTCCTTAGCAGACTTGTACTTCCCATGCAACGCTTTCTCCAAGGCACTCCCAGAAAAGATCCCTGCTTGTTCCCCATGAAAACGCTGCTATGCCCAGGTGTTGCTACGGCTGAGAGCCCCAGCCAGTGCCAGTGCATGGACAAAGGCTGTCCATCCAAACCTTGGGCAGGAGAGATCCCATGGCCACCAAGACCCTCAGACTGTGGAGACCCACGTCTGGAGAGAAATTCATGTCCTTTCATTACTATTTTTAATTTCCTCAGAGAGCACCCCAAATCAGGCCCCAACCTGGGCGACAAACATCATCTGTTGAGTGAAGCTGCTCTACCACCACCATATCCAATCCAGGGATACAAAGTTTAAACAGCCAGACTAAATCAGTTCCTCCCCAGAGGGCAACCCGGCCCTGTTCTTCATGGCATCAGGTACCAAGAGGAGATGCCAATCATTGACATCCCTGTGGAGGGCAGGGAGGTGCTTTGGTTGTGGGCTTCGGTGCAGGGCCCATTTTCTTACATTTCTGAAGAGCAAAGTGGTAAGTTGTATAAAAATGACAGTACTTAAAAAAAAAAAAAAAGAAGCAGAGAAATAAAGAAAATATAAAAAGGGAGAGCTTTATTTTGCTACTCATGCCAATGGAAGCAGTTACACAACAAAGCCAGTTTCCTGGAGAAGAGTTCAGCCCTCCTTGTCCTATTAGCAGGAAATAATGGTGCCTTCCTCACTAATTTCTCTTTTGCTAATTGCTAAAATGGAGTGAGAAGGTGGGAGTAATAGTTTCAGAAACTGCTGGATACCCATTCTCTTTCATCAGGAATACGAATGTCTTTTGGCTCTGTGGACTATGAGATCTCAGTGAGTCAAGCCATTTTTTATCTTTCCTGCGTATGCGTGCACGTAGGAACAATGCCTGTAAATCTCCGAAACATGGAGTTACAAGACTATTCCAGCACGGCAAACTCCCACGAGAATGTGATTGGACACAGGATTAAGTGCATTTTGGACACAACCGCATTAACGTTAGGTAACATGAAATTGCCTGCGAACTATTGATTCATTTGAATGATATTATCCTCCTGCCTTCCTGACAGGTTATCCATTTACCGACGGCATCCTGTCAACCTGTGCAACGAGGGCAGATGGCTAATGAGGACTTGGGCCTGAGGAGATCCTGGATGCAAGCAGAGCAGCAGGAGATATGTTGAGCCCCTGCAAAACACCACCTCACCCAGCCAGAGCTGGGAGGTAAATTGTGCAGGGTACAACGCCAGCAGCTGCCCAACTGCCCTCGTGGCTTCATTACAGCAGGAGGAAAATGAGATGTTATGTACCAAACCAGCCACACAGTCCAAGGCCTCAGGCCAGACTACCCCAGTCTCAAGGCCGCTGAAATCAGTGCCTTTATTTATTACACCTTTTCTCCTCTGAAAACATTTCTAAGCTTCTGAGGCTGCTCAGGCCCTGGCAGGACTGTTGTGCTCTACTCCTTAAATGAGCAATTCCTGGGCCAGGCCATGAGCTCCGCTGCTGTCAGTTCACATGGGGGAAACTGAGGCAGGCGTGTGATTCGTCCCAGTCACGCAGCTGTCACAAGGCTGAACCCACAGGCTCGTCTGCTCAGGCTGGCTCAGTGACAGGGTCAGTCCCAGCTCCCAGCTCGACTCCCTGCGCAGCTTTCGGGAGGGATGCCCACCCGCATCAGCCCAATTCCCATGTCCTCTCAAGGATGGAGGCAGCTGCCGGGGCCTGACAAAGCAATCGCAGGCAGACCTGGGCATGCTCCCTCTGGAGCCAACGATTTGCTCTGGTTCAAATGTTAACAGTAGCTTTTTCCCAGCTCCCATTAGCGATCTTTGCAAGCTTTGGTCTTCTACAGCTAACGTTCTCTGTATCCATCTTTTTCTAGGCAAGCCTCCAGCTGCAGAAAACCCGTTACTGTCATGCTCATAAAGCATCCACCTCTGTAACACGCGGGGATCGTGTGGCCGGTGAGTGACCCTTTCCCTCCACTGTTCCCTGCCTCTTCCCTTCGCTCTAGCTCCAACCCTCTGCCTTTAAATGTTTTGCCATCAGACGTACACGAGAGCATTCTGCAGGCCCAGGTCAGAAACAAGCAAATGAGCCATGAGCTTCCTACGCAATGAGATGGAGATAAACCGTCCTTGGGGGACGCACTTTATTTGCAATGGGATAAGAGAGATTTGGTAAGGTCAAGCTGGCTACAGAGGGCAAAGGGGTGAGAGCATCCAGATACTCCAGTAGCTGTCGGCTCAGTTTCTCTCCCTATTTGTTTTTTTCCCTTCCTACACAGTCATTCACCACGCTTGACATTTCCAAACCCATGTTTTGCAAACACAAACTCATTAACCATTCAAGACCTGCACCACTCAGCTGATTTCCAGAGCTCGATGCCCCATCCGTCAGCCCCGCTCCTACCTCCCATCCCACCCTCCCGATGCCAAGCGACAGCTGAGCCTCTCACGCCTGGCAAGAGGTGAGCGCAGTCAGGAAGAAGGATGGAAAACCCTGCTCTTGGAGAGGATCTCAGACGGCTCCTCTCACCACGTGTCTGCGTGCAAGTGGTCACGCATTTACCTTTGCAAAGATCAGACTGAGGTAGAGAAATACCGTTCGTATTTGAGAAGCAGGGCTCAGACAGGGCAATGGCTGTGGCGAGTGCATAGGGATTCGGTGTCAGATTTAAGGATTTCTCATTGAGATGTACCGAAGCTGACTTTGGCCTAAGCTAGGAAGAATTTTAACCAGTGCGAGCACAGCTATGGTATATATACCTGACCTCACCTTCACTGTCTGGCAGAGCAGAATAATTTCACAGCCACCTCTCCTAGTTACTCCTTCTTATCTGCAGCACTGGCTGATGCTCTTGGAGGCTGGAAGACAGCTTTCCAATGCAATAAGAGCAAGAGCCATTAGGAAAATGACACCCGACAGCAGGTTCTGTTTAATGGGGTGCTCCAAGCCCTGGTACGCCCCGTCCTCACCTCCTCCGCCTGCGCAGAACAGCTTTGTAGCCACACGCTTTCAGGGTACCTGGCGAACACAAGAGGGTGCGAATCAAAGAGATGGGGGCAAGAAGCATCTCCCTAATTACCTCCTGTTCCACGGCCAATGAATTCTTTTCCCCTCCAACTAGAACAATTGCAATACTTAACCAGAGTTTTGCTTTCCATCTCAGTCCAGCTCCTTTATGCCAACCAGTGCCAGCTGAGGCACAGAGAGGACCATCAAAAATCATGCCACGGCTAATTTCAGGTACACAGATCCCAGCTGCCTGAATTCTTCCCCCTCTCTCAGCCTGGTTTTTAAAGCACCCACCAAAAGTCAATATTCTGTTCCATGAAAAAGTAGGCCCTGAAGGTCTGCAGCCAAAATTAATGAACTTTTACAGAAGAAAAATCCCCAGGCTTTGCTCGAATCACAGCAAGTTCTGCAGCAGCACCAGGCAATTACAGTGTAGATTTTCTGACTTCTACTACAGGGCTGCAACCACTAAATATGTGCTGTTAAATAACAACACTTAGCAATTCTATGGCACTCTATATTTTCAAAGTGCTAGGCACACATTAGCTAATTGAATACAAAGGGGTTCCCTGGGAGACAGCACTGGAGGAATTATTAGAGGATGAAGTCACTCTTGGGTTTCTGTGCTTCATGCAGCACTCGACCTGCATTCTCACTTTACAGCAGCAGACAAAACCTATGGAGTGACCCGAACATTTAGATCATTGGGAGAACCTGGCTAATAAAAGCCACACCGCCAAGCTCTGTAATTCATGATTTTAAAGCCATGAGCTTGGATTTTCTGGCATTGATAACTGCGAGCTATGATCAGGAGATTTACAAGCTGTAGTCTCCATTCCATTAGGAACATAAACCTATAAGGTGCAAGTGCATTACTCAGTGTGAGTCCCGACTCAAACACTGGGATTGTACACCAACTGATCCCGACCAGGACTCGACCCCCGCAAGCCCTCTCCCACCTGAGCTACACCCAACGATGGGGCTCCTGCAATGTGCTGGTGGGTTTCAGACGGAAACCCCTCTCCTGCTCGTTTCGCTCTGGCTCTGTAACACAACAGCAGCAACACGCTGCTCCTCAGATTGTCACAGCACAGTGCTGTGGTGATGGATAACATCGCTGCTGCTTCACCCTGGTGGGATTTCTGCCGGGAAATTATTATGCCCACAACACAGAGGAGGAAACTGAGGCACGGAGCCAAACAAGGGAAGCAAATAAAGACCCAACAGCACGATCCAGCCTAAGAGAGGCATGGATTACCAACCTGCCCTGCGATGCAAAGCATCAAAGGCAGTGTTTGCATTTAAGCATGCATCTAATGAAGTATCCTCCCAAATCTAAGTAACTCCCAAACTGAAGTAAACCCACAATGTCGGTGCCTTTCCTTGCGAGTGGCCCCACTGCCGCTGATCACACCCTCCCTTCCCAAGCCTGGGAAAAGGTTGGAGACTTCTGCCTGGAAAGGGCCAGTCAAGCAGGGTATTATTAGTGTCACAACAGGCTCTCGGATAAGTAAATGGTTTATTTAAAGCGTGGCGCTGTGAACCCTTGAGACTCCCCTGCACTGCCACGCTGAGGTCTCACTTCAGTGAGTGGCTCCTGGTAATTGCTCACCCCGCAGCGGCGAGGCGGCCAGTTTGCTATTCAGTGCTCTGCATCAGCTATTGAGCTTCTTCCAGCTTTATCGATTTAGCTGGTGATATTGTTCTGCATCCCATTTGTGTGCGCAGAACCTTGCTCCCTGACTCGATTCTTATCACATTTTTA